AATGCACAGAACTGAAATTATCACATGCATATTACCTTACCATAGTTCAATGAAACTGGAAATCAATGCCAAAAGAAACCACAAGCATTTCATAAACACATGGAAATTAAACAACATCCCCCTGAACAACCAAGGGTCACAGATGAAATTCGACAGTTTCTACAATTAGACAATGACATAAAACACACTGGAACTTATGGAATACAATGAAAGCAGTCCTTCAAGGGAAATTCATAGCAGTGAATATCCGTAACAGGGAAACAGAGCAAGCTGAAATAACAATGTTAAGCCTCAAACTTCTAGAAAAAAGAGGAGGCCAAGACCAAAGCTCATATGAGGGAGGAAATTATAAACATTAGAGCAGAAATTAATGCAATAGAGACTAAGAATCCAAAGAATCAATGAATCAAAGAGTTGGTTCTTTGAAAGGTTAAATAAAATCCACAAATACTTAGCAAACCTTATGAAAAAAAGACTCAAATCCATGCAATTAGGAATGAAAAGGGTAAAATCACCACAGACCCTACAAAAATCCAAAAGACCATCTATACCTACATTTGAGAATTTGTATTCTAGTAAGACTGAAAATGCAGAAATAGATTCCTAGATACATATGAATTACCAAAGTTAAATCAAGATATAAAAAGTTCTAAACAAACCAATATCAATCAGTGAAATCAAGGATGTAATTAAAAACCTACCAACAAAGAAAAGCCCAAGTGCTGATGGATTCACTGCTGAATACTACAGGAAATTTAGAGATGACCTAAAGCACTATTTCTCAAACTCTAATGAAATGGAAACAGAAGCAATACTCCCAAATTCACTCCTGGAAGCAACCATTACCCTGATACCAAAACCAGAGGACCCAACTAAGAAAACTACAGGCTAATCTCCCTAAATGAGCACAGATGCAAAAATCCTCAATAAGATACAAAAAAAAAAAAAAAAAAAACCAGAATGCAGCAAGTTACCAAGAAGAATATACACTATGACCAAGTAGGATTCATCTCAGGGATGCACAGATGTGTCAACATACACAATACATGTAATACAGTATAGTAATAAAGTCAAGGACCGAAACCATGCGGTCACCTCAACAGATGCAGAAAAAGCTTTGGACAAAGTCTAACACCCATTCATAAAAACCTTTCTGAAAATTGAAGGCTAGGGATTTAGCTCAGTGGCATAAGCGCCTGCCTGGCAAGCACGAGGTCATGAGTTCAATCCCTGGTGCTAAAAAAAAAAAAAGAAAATTGAAACATATGGCCTTTATCTCTGTTATAGTCAGGGCCTGTGAGAACAATTAAAATAGGGACATGGAGTTTATATTATTTTATGGTGGTCAACCAGTTAACACAAAATGCAGAAAATCTATCCACAACACTAAAGACATAGAATATTTAGCCAAGGGCCTGAATCCCACAGCCATCTCCCACAAGTCCAGATGAAGACCCAGAGCTCATGACAATGCCTCCCATGAGTTCAACTGGAGGTCTAGAGCCCACAAGAAGGACTCACGACAGTCTGTTTTACAGATCTGAGCTGGGAAGACCCAAAGGTCTTACCCAAAGGAAGTTAGGAAGTCTATGTCAGCAGAGTGAAGGAACTGTGCTGGTAAATTGAGGGTTTACTGGAGCCGAGAAGTCACACTCAAAACAAATACTAGGGCTGTCCTGAAAAGCACCACAGCCATCCTCAGTGACACAGAGGCCCCAAGCTTCTCTGAAAATAAGCACAGTTGAGTACTTGCAAGGAAGCCAGCATGAGTTCATTATGGAGATTAAGCAGCACACATCGTCCCCTCTAGAGCCAGGAAGCAATGCTCAATGTAAGGACCAGAACTTCTCCAGGAGAACCAAGGTCTCAAACAGCATCACGTAGAACCCACAATGCCTCAACGCCTTAACACCTTAACACCTTTCTTCTTCTCCACATCTCTATTTATGCTGGCAACTTTTCTCAGGTGGAACATCTATGCTCAGAGCCCTGCTGATTTAATTCAGCTGGCGTTAAGTTGACCACCAGTTGTTTTTTTTTTTTTTAAGATTAAAAGAGGGGCCGGGGATTTAGCTCAGTGGCATAAGTGCCTGCCTGGCAAGCACGTGGTTGAGAGTTTGATCCCTGGTACTAAAACAAAACAAAACAAATAAAAAAGATTAAAAGAGGACATTGTTCAGAACAGAACAATTTAAGCAACATAGTGTTTTACCACAAGACAATCTGACATAACAGCAACTACCATAGTGTCTCTTTCCTTGAAATATTTGAGTATACCTTCATACACTATAGTATCAAACATAACAAGACAGTATAAAAACATTCAAGAGAATGAAAGTATTACAGGGTATTCAAAACCAACTAACAGAAAACAAACAATGGTTACTATGTATCTCCTTGTCCATAAAAAATTGTTTATACTATCACATATAATAAAATCCATTAAGATACAACATGATAAAACCAATGGAGACAGAAGAACAAAAGCTTGGTAGGACTTCAAAACAAGATACTAAATCAGCACTCGCTATTTAATGTCTTGTTTTCTTCAAAATAGCTGTTCATACCATCACAGACAATAAAATCAAACAACCCAGAATAAAACCATTCCAACTAATGAATGAAAACATTATAAGGCTTCAAAGCAATATATTGGGGAATCATGATTATCACTTACTTTTATGTATTCTTACCATTTCTTACACTAGGGAAACTATTCAGTATTTATACATGTGAGTTTGATTCATTTTGCTTGTGAGTATAGTCTCAAGCTGCATCCATTTATTTATAAATATCTCAATGTGATCATTCTTTATAGGTGAGTAGTACTCCATTGTATAAAAATACAACTTTTTTAATCCATTCCTCAGTTAATGGACACTTACGTTGTTTCCAAGATCTGACTATTACAAGTTGTGCTGCTATAAACACGGGTGCACATATATCACTGTGGACCACCAGTTTTTAATACATAACAATCTCAACCTGATAAGTCATCTGTGGTAAAACAATAACCAACATCATACTAAGTCAACAAAAACTGAAAGCTTTCACTCTAAAATCAGGAAAAAGTAAGTCCACTGTCACCACTCTTATTCAACATACTTCTGGAAACTTTAGCAGAGCAACTAGACAAAAGAAAAATAAATACATAAAAGGAGTATGGATAGCAAAGGAAGAAGTTAAAATATCATTATTCATGGACAACATGATACTCCACATAGAAGACTCCAAAAACTCCACTGAAAGACCTCTATTTTTAATAACTAAATTCAATAGCATAGCTGGATATAAACTCAAAAATCCATAGCCTTCCAATACATAAAAAACAAATTCACTGTGAAAGGAACTTAGAAAACATCTTCACAATAGCAAAAAATGAAATCCTAGGAATCAATCTAATGAAGTAAAAGTCCTCTACATTGAAAACTATAGTACTCTGAAAAAGGAGACTGAAGAAGATAGCAGAAAATGGAAAGATAGCCCTTGTTCTTGGGTAGAGAATCAATACAGTAAAAATGGCCATACTTCAAAAACTGTTACACAGATTTAACACAATTTTGATGAAAATCCCAACAGCGTATCACATAGAATTAAAGAAAACACTCCTAAAATTCATTTGCAACCAGAAGAAACCTAGCAAAAGCAACTCTGCACACACAAAAAAAAGGCAAGGTAGAGTGTATCATAATCCCAGACTTAAAATTATACTACAAAACTACTACGATAAAAACAGCATGGTACTGGCAAAATAACAGACTGAAGATCAATGGAACAGATTAGAAGATGCAGGAACAACTCCAGACATACTCAGCTACTTTATCTTTGACAAAGGTGTCAAAACACATTCAATGGAAGAAAAATAGCCTCTTTAATAAATGGTGCTAGGCTTTGCACATGCTGAAGATCAGAATTGGACCCATATCTTTCACCATGCACTGAAGTCAAAATGGATCAAAAATCTAAGTATTAAAACAGAAACATTAAGTCTGCAGGAAGCCAGAATAGGTAAAACTCCTGAAAACACTAATATAGGCAAAAACTTAATGAATAAAACCTCAACTGCACAGGAATGATCACAAAGAACTGATAACAAGGATCTCATCTTGTTAAAAAGCTTTTGCACAGCAAGAGAAACCACTAACGGAGTAAAGACACAACACACACTGTAGGAAACACTGCCAACTGTTTCTCGACAAAGGATTACCATCAAGAACATACAACAAAATTAAACTCCCCAAATTTAAAGACCCAATCCAAAAATAGCATGAGATAAATACATTCTCAGATGAAGTATGAATGGCAAATATATGAAAAAATGTTCAGCATCACTAGTTATTCAAGAGATGCAAATTTAAAAAAACAAAGAGTTTCTATCTCACCCCAGAAAGAATGGCTATTATCAAGAAATCAACCAGTAACAAATGTTGGCAGGGATGTGGGGAAAAAAGGAACACATCTTCTCTGCTGGTGGGAGTGTAGAATGGTGCAATTTTTGTAGAAGTAAGTATGGCGGTTCCTCAAAAAACTAGGACTGGAGGTTCCATTCAACCCAGGTATTCCCCTTCTGGGTATCTTCCCAAAAGAATGAAAAACATACCACAGAAATATATGTGCACATATGTTTACAGCAGCACAGTGTGTATTAGCCACATTTTGGAAACGACCCAAGCGTCCATCAACTGGTGAACAGAAACAGATTTTTTTATACAATGGCCATAAAAAAGGATATGCTCAAGACATTTCTAGAAAAGAGATGTACCTTGAGTATATACTCTTAAGTGAAATAAATCAGATATACATGTGCAAATACTGTATCATTTCTCTGGTTAAGAATCTGAAAGTATAAATTGGGACCAAAATGTGTAAAAAGAAATGTCAAACAGGAAGAAAATGTTCAAATGGGGAGGGAAACAAGAGAAAGGAGAGGGAAAAACGGAAAAAAAGAGAAAAGAAGAAAAACACAGAAAAGAAAAAAAAAAAGAATCAAACCAAAAACCTATGACATAATACAACTTTATTTTTAGAAATACAATATGAAGAACAAGACATTTATTTACATTTTGAAACTGTTTAACTGGGAACACCTCTGGCGTTTGTCCCTCTGCTTTTGCTCACACAGGTCAGGTGCCACATGTCTGGCTGGGTCAGCTGGCAGTGCTGATGGTTTTTGCTCTCCAATCCTCCTTGGGCTTGGAATAGTCCCAAGGCCTTCTGTTCTCAGTGAACCCATACAGCTTTCTAAGGGCCACTCGAGCAGCCTCTTCCTCTGCAACAAACACTGTTTCTCCAGGTCCTTCTGCAATCAACTTTTTATCACTAAGAAAAAACAACACTGGTCTTAAATGACAGGGTACTGGTACTCTAGAAAACAGTACACAATATAAAGAGAAATATAAACAATACATAAGTATTTTTCAAGTCAAAAATGCTGAAGCAAATGCATATAACTACAGGTACATTTTTAAATTGTTGATGAGACAACTGGAATATTGATTTTTTTTGTAAAAGCCTAAAACTATCAAAAAATGTCCCTGAAGCCAGGGATTTAGCTCAGCAGGATAAGCACCTGCCTGGCAAATACAAGGTTGCGAGTTATAATTATTTGCATTTCTTTGAATTTATAATAAAGGTTCTGATGAAAAAATTATGGCTGACTGTTTTGGCAGCATATAAACTAAAAATTAAAGCTCTGAGTTTTTTTTTTTTTATTTAAAGAAAAAAAATAGATAAAAAGCATAGAAATACAGAATTTCAGAAAAATAAACAGTAAATCACCAGTCAATAAATTACATACTGTCATCTTAGAAGTAGTTGCTCGAGTTACAAAATTATACAAAGTGATATTCAAACAATGATACTGCAAACAGTTCTACTCAACGATCCAACAAGAACTTAGTAATATGGTTATCAGTCCTACACACTTGTTTTTTATCTTAAAGAGGGTAGATTAAACATAACAAAACAGAACAAAACAGTTTATAAGGAAACAATTTAAAGAAACACAGATTTCTGTTTTGTTTTATATTATTGAGATAAGGTCTCATCATGTAGTTCAGGCTGACTCGGAACTTACTTTGTAGCCCAGGCTGGTCTCACACTCATGACAATTCTCTAGTGTCAACCTCCCAAATGCTGGGATTACAGATATGGGCACCATAGTGTGTTTTAATTAGGAACTTCAGATCCTCAAAACTCAGCTTTTAAAAATATTTCTGTATTTATAAAGTATTCTAAATTATTCCCAAGAAATAGTGAGAAAGTACAGTGAACACTATATATTAGCTATTCAAGTTCTACTGAAAATAGATAAAACTAAAACCAATTCCTTGGTTTTCCTGATATTTCTATTATTACTACTTATGACCAATATCTTCTTTTAAAAAGTGCTGTTCCTACAAGGAAGCAATGGATATGAACATTAAATTTGCTTCTTCTCAATTATATTTAACTAATTCCTAAAAACTTCCTGATCTACAATTTCATCTGAACAAAAGCAGCATTTCTCTGCAATGCCTGGAGTCAATAAAAAGTGACTTGAAAGTTAAGACCAAAACCAAATTGAAGGAAAAAAAAAAAACCATGAAGGGAATAGTAAAAATCATACTTCAGCACAGAAGACATTTGCTAAGAAACATTTGCTATGAGAGCAAGTTAAAATGAAACAGGTTAATCATATGAAGTAAATTTCATAATATTATATACACACATTTGCAAAGTGAGCAACAGAGAAAACCATCTAATTCAATTTCAATCCCAGAAAAGTTATCAATCATCATGCTTTTAGTCTAATGATGTTGCTATTCTATAATCAGTTATCTTTCAAAGTTATCACCTAAAAATCTAGAAAAAGACTATTACCCAAAGTTAATCACTGTTTTTATACAGAAAAATTATTCTAATTTTTTAGTTGAAAGATTATTCCCCCCAAAACTCTTAATGTCATTAAAAATCTGTTTAAAATGTCACTAGTAGTAAATGAACTATATTTCCTCATGTGCATATACCTTTTGTTTGTTTTTTCTTCTTTATGTTTTTTTTGAGACAAGAACTTGCTATATAATTCTAGGCTGGCTTTGAACTCATAACGATCCTCCTGCTTCAGCCTCCCAAATGTTGGGATTTAGGCATGCACCACCTTACCTGCTTGTAATTTTATTAATTCCATAACTAGTTACTAACCACCATATCAAAAAAACTTCCAGATATGGTGTATAAAGAGGTTAAAAAAAAATAAACAAGCCTAGTGCCATGGTTTATGTCAGGGGCCCGCAAGCCTCATGCAATTATGGACTAGAGCAAATCTAGCATTTGTGACTGGTTCACTGTCTAGCACTCCGGCTGGTGGTGCGAGTGCTACACCCTCCTAGGGGTGAGAGCCAGCATATGATGTAGTGTCGAGCAGAAGGTGTGTCTTGCTGTTTTGCTTTTACTGTCTGCAGCAGCCATGAGGTGCTGCTCCACCAAGCCATGCTGCCTTGGAGCCAACTGAGTATGGACTGAAACCCCCAGAACTGTAAGAAATAAACCTTTCCTTCCCTAATTTTCGTAGGTGTTTTGTTTCAGAAACGACTGAAAAGTAACTAAGGCATCTGGCATGAAAGTGCATGCTTGTAATCCCAGCTACTCAGGAGGCTGAGGTGAAAGAATCATAAACTTTGAGGACAACCTGAAAATTTAATGAGCCTCTCTCTTGGGGGATGTAGCTAAGTGGTTGTCCTACTCTTCTCTTGCTGCAGAAATAAAAGTTAAAGGGTGAAAGGTTTATCTGGCTCAGTTTGTAGAGGTTTCAGTCCACAATCGGCAGGCTCCAAGGCAGGGTGGCTTGGCAGACAGGCAACAGTTCATGATGCCCACAACACAACTAAAGTAACAAGGGTTTTTAACAGCGTCTTTCTGCCCTTTATATCTTATCCGGACTACACAACATTCACACGCTTAATCCTAGGACTCTGAATCTAGCATTGCACCATAAATCAATTTAGCGCCACACTCTAGATCCAGCCACTTTTGAAAAGCCCCTCCTATGACTCCATGAGACTTTGGGGAGATACAGTGGTAGAGTGCTTGCTTGTCTAGCATGCACGAGACCTGAGTTCAATCTCCAGCAACAGAAAAAAAAAATTGTATGCAAATTTTTATCTGTAATCTTAAGACAATCAAAAAGAAGTATCAAATTAAAGGGCATAAAAATTTTAAAGATTCCTGGGCTGGGGATTTAGCTCAGGGCATTAAGCACCTGTCTTGCAAGTGGTTGTTAGTTAGATCCCCGGTACCAAAAAAAAAAAAATTTTAAAGATTCGTAGCATTCTGGCAAAATCTCTTACAGTAATATACATTTTTCCTTCTATTGGCAGTGTATGAAGTACTGACAAAGGATATGTTTAAGGTTTACCAATTTGATAAAAAGACCATATCACCATTTTTGCCTTGCACTTCAATTAAAATTGAAGATAAAAGTTTTACAACACCATCTACTTCCTATCATGTCTTCCAATGTGTATACTGGATAAGGTTTTCTGTGATGCAGAGTACAAAAATATTTACCTGAATCTTAATCTAGTTATATTAGATATTCAATTCAATATTCATTTTTCAAGTGAATATTGATAATATTCAATACCTAGCTTATTTATTTATTTTGTGTTAAGGGGAGTGAAACCTAGGACCCTGTGCTTGCGAGGCAAGTGCCCCACCACTGAACTACACATCCAGCCCATTTTCATCTTAACACCTGAAATCAATTTGAGGCAGGTCAGTTTCTTACTAACAAAAGAAAAAGCTTTCAACACAGGTTGATCTATACATTTTGATGGACAACTAAGACCATCCCTTTTTTACTTCTAGACGCAGTTAAAGTTGCTTACTAGAATAGACTAAAGTTAAATCTATAATACATGAGTCAAAACTTTTATTTATATACAGAAAATTTTAGGTTAACATGTATCCCATGAAATTCTAGAATAAATAGTTGTCTAATGAAAATTACCAAAAGCAAAAAAAAAAAAAAAGTTAAAAAAAACTACTAAAAGCAAAACATACCTCACTTATCTTTCATAGAAATAACCAAAAAGGAATAGAAGTGATAAACACACAATCATAGGGATAAGATTTTAGAAGTCTCTTCATGCTATCAGAGGTCATGTTTAAAAATGTGGAAAAAAAAAATATCTGGACGTGGTAGAACAAACCTGATACCCCAGCTACTCAGAACCCTGAGGCTAGAGGATCTGGAGCCCAGGGGAGGCAGCATCTGAACTCTGCCTCAGGAAAAAAAAAAAAAAAAAGAACTATGAAACGTCTAGAATCTAGTTTTAAGGCTTCCAATCAAAGTTGTGAATTTAAGGTTAAATTCTACTTACCAGTATAAGCCAACAAAATACAAAGGCAAAGCTGTGGTGCTTCCAGACTGCCTGGTAAGTCTAGGTTCAGGAGGTGAAATGTTTCTCTTCTTCAGTTCCTCTACCAGCAGTCCCATGGGATTTATTATCTCCCACATCTCAAAAAGCTCTTTGCCAGTCAGTTGAGTAATTAAGAAGTCCTGCATATAAAATAGTATTTAATACATTTGAACTAGCACAAAGAATTTAAGGACTTGAATTCAAAGTACATATTTAACAGAAAATTTAATGGGAAATGAAAGATACTATGTAATACCTAAAACTCTAAAACAATTTTTTAAGATCAAGAATTTGGAAAAAAAAAAAATCTAAAACAATTCAAAACATGCAACATTTTGAGCACTGTTACGATACTCAAAAAGGTTGTGACCCTAGAGTAATTTAGATTTCAAATTTTAGTAGGCAACCTCAATTTGCAAAGCTTTGCAAAGATTCCAAATTTGAAAATATCAAAACTCCAAAACACTTCTAAAATCAAGCATTTTGCATGATGATCCTCAGCTTACATTTTTTTGTTCCTATAGCCACCCCGTCACCTCGCACCTCTGTGTGCTGGCCAGAAACTTACCTATTCAACATTCTTAAATAATTAGTACCACTTGACTCTGATAGTCCTATCAGAGTTTATTTACTGAGAAAAGTTTTAAACCGTATGCAACGAACAGATGTTCACTGTTCATTAGTAAGAGTTCACACAATCACCTTAAGTGTTAGTCCTGATTTAGACAAATCTTGATTTAGTATTCTGCATCCTAGGCCAGTCCTTTACTACTGAGCAATACCCACAGCTCGCATAGTTTTTTCCATATCAATTTCATTACAAAAATCATAGTTAAACTGGACCTGTGAAAACGATTTTAGGCAGTATGATCTAACAGAATTATACAAGAGGTAAACTACTACCTTATAATAATCATATTCCTATCAGTAAGAAAAAAATTTAAGAGTTGAATTAATGAATCAACAGTAATACATGGCAGAAACTCATGTAAATACATACAGAGCCGGTTGGGGATTTGGCTCAGCAGCCTAAGCGCCTGCCTTGCAAGAGTGCAGTCATGAGTTCAATCCCCGGTACCGAAAAAAAACAAAAAACAAAAAACATGCAGAGCCTCTGGACAACAATACTGTTAATTTTTTGAAAGTGGTGTAGGGCTGGGGATTTAGCTCAATGGCATAAGTGCCTGCCTACCAAATGTGAGGTCATGAGTTCAATCACAGGTACCCCCCCCCCCGAAAAAAAAAGCCACTTACATAATTTCTGAATGTTATCTTTTAAAACTGATTTGATAATACTTCTAATTTTCACAGCAATTTATATAATGAAATTGATTCACATGAACAAACATCAGTTATACATATATACACAATGGATGAATGGAGATAGAAGAAATTTGAAAAGATCCTTCAGTTCACAAAATAAGTCAATTTCATTACAGTCTTCCAGGCACTGTAACTCTATATCAGCTCCATTAATAAAAATATCACCCCATTATAGGACCTAGCTGGGGAAGGATGAAGAAAGAGCTTACCTATGAAAAGTCTGAAGTGTTGATAAAGTGTAATTTTCTAACAAAATTATCAATGATGCTGGTTTAAAAGACCTGGCATCCAACGTCTAAATCAAGACTGTTAACACTTAAGGTAATTAGGGGCTGGGGATTTAGCTCAGTGGCATAAGCACCTGCCTTGCAAGCAGGCGGTCGTGAGTTCGATCCCTGGTACCGATAAAAAGTTAAAAAAAAAAAAAAAAGAGCAAACACTTAAGGTGATAGTGCGGACTCTTACTAATCAACAGTGAACACCTGATCATTGCATAGTTTAAAATTTTTCTCAGTTAATAAACTCGATAGGACTGTAAGAGTCAAGTGGTACTAATTATTTAAGAATTTTAAATAGGTAAGTTTCTGGCTAGCAGATAGCTAATGTGCATCATAGGGACTCAGAAATCTAAGACTTTATCACTTGAAAGAGCACTTAAGGGTACTTAAGCATGAACCTATGCAGTGTCCTCTACCTTATTCATTCACAGGACTATCTTCCAGGCATGCATTATTTTTAGACATGAAGATGTAAAAAGCTGAAGATGACATGACCTATGACTTGCTATCCTTTGGAACTACAAGCCAGAATTTATTATTTACTTTTGAAGATGCCATCAATAAAAGACAACCAAAATAATTCCAGTCCTACTATAAAAAAAGGTTTTGGTTCTTGTCATTTTTTACTGGGAGAAAAATTCATTTCCAACAAAGCAATTAGAAAAAGGAATTTCTCCCTCTATTCATGTCAAGCATGTCCAAGCATGTGCCATTAATCATATTCTACCCACCCTGATGAAAAGTGCAGTTCTTTCAGGTCCACTGCTCTGTAGCAAGGCTCCAATTACTGCAAAAAATGTCCGCTGCAACACAGGCGGAGGGACTGGAAATTCGGCACTCAGTGTCAACTGCTCCACAGCCAAATTTCTAGCCACATGACACACGACTTCCTCCCCAGTGAGAAAGTTAACTAGATTTCTGACGCCCTCAGTGGGCAAGTCGGGGTACTCATCTTGAAGAAGTTGTGTGAGGCACATTTGTGAAAAAGAAATTCCTTGTTCAGATAGTTCCTGATTGTCTTTAAGATTCAGAAGAACAGCTTCTTTCTCTATACCAAGCTTCTGACGTTTTGCCTCTTCACTTTTAATATAACAGTTGTTAACAAATGCAGTTTTGAGGAGATCTAAGGAAAAGGTTTCCTGTAACCGGTGTCCAAAAGCTTGTATCTCAGCGTGGTAATCCCAGTTGGGCTTCTCTGAACTGTAAAACATAAAGACAGAGATTGTAAAGAGGCGGCTACCATAATGTAAACATTTTTCAGTGTTCTATAATTTTATGAATCATATGAAACAAGATCATACTTCTTGAGTTAAGGACAGTGGTGTACACGTTCAGGAGGCTAAAGCAGGAGGACAGGCGTGAATTCCCCAGCCAGGGGTACACAGTGAGCTTACGTTAGTCTCAACTATATAACAAGACCCTGTCTCAAAAAATATATATATGCTTCTTTTTTACTAGGTTCTAATATTCTAAATATAAAGCCTCAAAAACTCAGATGCACGTTGTCAGTCCTTTGCTATATTCTACATATATTGTAGAATAAGCTTTCCCTTTGACTCAATTTGACAAAATTGCCACAAAATAGTTGTTCAGAAATCAACCTATTCTTTTAGATTATCTCTGCTTTAACCCTTGAATTACGCTTTCTTGGTATAAAACATATGATTTCACAAATTAGTATAATAAACAGTACATTATGTATAAATTCTACTTTACTAATTTAAACTTTAGAAATATTCATTTAAATCAGCAATTGAACATCCAGTATATCAATGTTATGAGTAAATTAGAAGTTCACAATTATGGGCTGGAAATAAAGCCCCACAGTAAAGCAGTTGCCTAGCATAATTAACCCCTGGTTTTGAAACCCCTAACTACCAAAATCCATCATAATTTCCAAGAATGAACAAAAGCAGATTTTTTCCTAAAGATACACCCAAAATAAAACCCTCTTAAAAAGCAGTAAAGCATAAACAGCTAGTTGAAAGTCAATATATAAAACTATAATCCATAAAGTTCCAGCTTTAAAAGCTTAAAACATCTAGCCTTCTAATAAGCAAAAAAGAAAAAGCGAATTAAAACAAGATGGTGTTCTGCCTACAACAGAAAGAACATGATCTGTGTTAAGAGTGTTTTGCAGATACATTAATTGGATGTTCTTCTTTGGAAGGCATTATTAGTTATCAAAATTTTATACTGTAAGTTTCTAAAAATGAAAACCTCAAGTATGTTCACTACTTCATTGTACAGCGGTAATAGGGAGCTCGAATCCCAGTATATGGTACTATAAAAAAATTAAAGGGCATCTATATCTTTGTCTAAGCCTTATGTCAAGAACAATTTTAAAGAGGAAAAACAGGATACAAGAATATATGTAAGGTATATTCACACTTGGGAATTATAAAAAACTTGGGAGTTACAAAACTTAAAAAAGGTTTCTTTTTCGACTGCAGAAAAATTAACGAGGGAAAGAAAATCTAAACTTTTTTACTCCGGACGGTGCACTAGTGTCTCCCTCCCTCGCTCACAACGCTGTGGAGTGATTTCTTCCCTCGTATGCGCACCCGAACAATCTTCAGTCATTACACAACAGACCACAACCATACCCTAAAGCTGACTCTATTTCTCACAATTTTCTCAGCTCTAAGGGAAGTTCTGACACGTCACAGGCAGCCCGGGTACCGTCGCCGCGGCAGACGTCGCCTCAGGCCACGCGTCCACGCCTCTAGGGCGGGCTCCCGCCAGGCCCAGCGTCCCGACCGCCCCTGGCCGCTCCCCCTTCCAGCCGGGGCTCCTACCGGCGCACGGGCGGCGGCGGGCAGCGAAGCAGGCGTCTCCGCTCCAGCTCCTTCTGGTAGCGGAAGGCGGCGCGGAATCCCTTTTTCACTCCCCGAACGGGCGGAACAAGCGTGGGGGCGGCCGAAGCCAGAAAGCAGCGAGGCCCCAGCTGGAGCAATCTCACCAACCCAGACGCCATAGCTAGGAGAAAGCAATGGAGGACGGAAGAAAAACGGTTGGACCGGTGTCGCGAGAACACAGTTCCCCAACCCTAGTGAAACTGATTGGTCCGGGGCGGGGCGGCTGGGGGCGGGGCCAGAGCCCAGGGGGCGGAGCCAGAGCCCAGGGGGCGGGGAGACTGCCCCTGAGTTTTACTGTGCCCGCGCAAATACTGATTCTTGTCGCTGGAAAGTTATTTTCACAGGGGCAGGCTTCTTCACCCTGGTACCGGCTCTCTTGTTATTTTCTCACCAGAGTAAAACAAAAAACTTGTTGCACCTTCAATTTAAACACTTAAATTTCCATGAAAAATATTTTTTGTTTGCATTTGGTCAAGTGTAAAACCACTGACCCAGCCACTATTGAACATTCTACTTTTTACCGCTCACATCTTTAAGAAGCCTTGCTCTCGGAAGCTTTAGATGAAGAAACGTGTTAACGTGCCTTAAATTAAAATTTGTATTTACAAACAGTTTAGAGTCAGGGATTTAGCCTGCTTGGCAAGCACGAGATCGATCCCCGGTATCAAAAAAAAAGAAGGAAAGAAAGAAAAAAGAAAAACAGTTTAACACTACATTTTTTAAAATACCAGGGAAAAGCCCAAGGGTGAGGGTAGGGGACATCAAAATGGTAACGGTGAAACTAAGAGTGATTTTCCCCCATGTTTTTCTACTATTCGTCAGTGGTCCTACTCTATTCCTTTCCTACTAAACAATATAATTTTTTAAAGAACTTTTATTAAGTCACAAGGGGATCCTTGTCTGAATTCCAAATTGTGATTTGGTTCACGCACCTCCTCCTCCAGCAGGCCCCTGTGGCACCCAGATTTGTCTCCTTGGTCCTGGGTTGTTCCTATTCCCACAAACACTTACCTATGTTCACTTAGAAAGTCTTTTTTCAATTTACCTCTTTCTCTGGTTTTTGTAATCTGTCTCCCAGCAAGCCCAGCCCCTCTGTCCCAGCCCTAAACAGAACTCACCTATACTCCTCTCTCTGAAACACAAACCAAAGCACGTTAGCACTTAGCTTCAGAATCTCAATGCCATGGCTGTACAGTTTAGGTTTCTCAGCTCAGTCCTTTGAGACAAAGAATCCAAATGGTTGGTCTTAGCCTTTTCACACAGTGTGAATGGTTCACACTAGAGAAAAAGGAACAAAAGAGAAAGTCAGCACCTGTCACAAAACAAGCCAATAGATTTCTGTTTGAAGCAAATGTGAAAAGGGACAAAATGTTATTTTGATTGGCCTTTGCATTACACTGGATGTAAAGTATTAAAATCAATAAGTGGAATCACTATGTGGAATTTATTTTTGCAGAACATTCTATTTATTGGGAGAACCAATTTAAAGATACTTGAAGGACAACAATTGAAATTAAAATGTTTATATTGAGAGATTTTCAGTAATACAATGAGAACATAATTTTCAAATTAAAAATGAAGGATCTCAGGTGATTTTTCCCACTAATGTACTATATGGAGCTCAAAAATTAACTTGTGGTAAATTCACTTTGTCCCACTGCTGTAACAAAATAAGCAAGATAATTAGTTTTAAAAAAGAAAAGTTTATTTTGGCTCACACTTTGGAGGTTGGGGCTCATTGCTTTTGGATTCATGGCAGGAGGCTTGCAGCAGAGCAAAAACGGTTCCTCTCCTGCTAGGTTGTAAAAGAATGAGGCAGAAAGAAGGGACTGAGGACCCTCAATCTTGGGGGGCATCCTGGATAAAACTCTGGCACCAATTAAGTTTTAGCACAGTTTACAACAGATAACTAAGAACAAAAGGAAATGAATGAAAATGGCAACATACCAAATGTTCTTTTAGAGAAAATCTCCAGAATGCTAAGTCTATATAGATAAATGAGATTTTACTAAATGTAGATGAGGTGAAAAGGAAAAATGATCTTGGATGGTACATACAGAGTCATAAAGTAAAAATGATTATGATTTACATAGGTGAAGGGGTTCCCTGTACTCTCTGGGAATTCACTGGAATGAACTGACAATAGGTAGGTTAAATAGAAGAAAAGACACATATTTATTTTGCACATGGAAGCAATTATAAAGTTAAACTCCCACTAGCCAAATATGATTCAGCAGTATATCCCTTTTCTTCAAGGGAGAGAATGGGAAATGTAGACAATTTTTAGGGGAAGGGTAAATGATTTTTAAGGAAATTCAGTGGGCATAGAGGAACATATGATGGTCTGGGACAAAATCTGTTGAGTCTACAGAAAAGACAGGAATTCTCTTTGAGATATTAAATGGTCTCAAATAGAAGACAATGAGTTGGGCATGTTGATGCATGCTGTAATCCCAGACTCAAGAGGCTGAGGTAGGAGAATTACCATGAGTTCAAGGCCAACCTGAACTATATAGTGAGACCCTGTCTCAAAAAAAAAAAAAAATAGAATAAAATAAAAATATGTGACAAAAGTTTGCCCAGGTATGTGACATACTTGAGTTTCTTTTCCTTAGATATGAGTTAATTCATGAAAACAGAAGGGACTAAAGGTTTTGTTTTCCAGGAGTCTCTGCGTTTAAGTAGATATGAGGTTATCAGAGGAAAGCCTCTCCATGTTTTTTAATTTAAACTAGTGAAGTATGCATTTTGGGGTGAAAATCCTGGTCCAAGAAATCCAGCAGAGACTGCTTCCAAGGATAGAAGACAAAAGATGAAAACCATATCCAGTAGGAAGTAGAATCACTTGGGAAAGGGTAATTCCTGTTCTGTAATCTTCTACCACTGCACCCCACGGTACACACTTATCAGGAAACAAGGCAGCAATCAATGTATTCTGGGAAGTGGAGTTTGAAGAGTCATCTCTGCAGTGTAGAATGTGCAGTATCTGATGCAAGTGAATGGCAGAGTAATTGCACTCAAGTAGGAAGAATGTGAAATGTGGCCAAAGCAGAATAATGATCAAAAAACACACAAACAAAACACTCCATGGCCCATTATGATAGCATACCTTGATTTATCCAAATGTTAAAGGTAGATATTTTTTTAAAGACACAATAATGGTGAAAGAGTTTTTTGGCACCATAAAAGAGAGAATATAAAGTAAAAATAGCCTTTATTCCAAGGACGTGGAGAGAAGTCCATGACAACCAGTGGCCTGGCTTTCTCTGGCATGAAACATGGGGCATGGGATACATATATATAATCTCTGAGTGTGTGTGTGTGTGTGTGTGTGTGTGAAAGGGTTGCTGGCCCAGGCCGGATACTGTAGCCGGTAAAGCCAGGGAGCTCCTATCCCCCCCCCCCCCCCCCCCCCCCCCCCCCGCTTAGAAATTACCTCTGGCGCCAAACTAAGACCAATGGGCCTGTGCATCCCTAATGCCCCTTGGGTTCCACCCCAGGCCGAGGCTACTTATGTGCCTTACTCCACGTGTTAGAAAGAGAGAGATCACCAGCCCGGGGGTGGAGATGCCACGCCCTGGGGGGTCGGGGGTGTCTCTCCCCACATTCCCAAAATAAAGGTTACTTATATTTTGTATTTCTTATCTTTTCAGCCACCACCAGCCAGTCCTTCCTCCTCCTCTTCCTCCTTTCACAGATCTATCAGTGTGTACCTATTATTACTATCATTCTCATTAGAATAGCAAAGCTATAATATATTTCAGTGTCAGTTAATATTATAAACTAGATTGGATGAAGACATTCTTGGACAGATAATTGGGTTTTAAGGGCATGACCTCATCAATGGATCAATCCATTAATGAGTTCATAACTGACTGGTCTTTTAGGAGATAGAGCCTGGTTGGAGGAAGGGATGTGACCTTGAGGACAATATCTGGTCCCTGGCACTTTCTTCTAGGATTTCTTTCCAACCCACTTTGCTTCCCAGCCATGAGTTAAGCAGCTTTCCTCTATAATGCTCTTCCACTGTCATGTCTTGATCTTGGAGCTAGCTAAGCATGGACTAAACCTCTAAAACCCTAAACCACAATAAGCCTGTCCTTCTTTAAATTGTAGACATTAAGTATTTTGTCCCAGCAATAGGAAGCTGACCAATACAATTCCCTCGAGGAGTCTAATATGAGACACAAGGATTCAGCGGTAGAGAAAACAATGACTGAGCAGATGTTTACAATTCAGGTCCAAGACAAGGAATTTGGGTTAACCATAGTAGCTACCCTATATAATCTCTGTTCCCTATGTCAACAATAAAAGGTAATATTATTGTTCTTGTAATCCACAAACAAGCCCCCCAGAGCCCTCCAACCTCGAGTCCAAAAATGGGGCAAGACATTTTTTTTTTTTAAAAAAGCAGCGCTGATTTATTTTATCCTGGGCCCAGTGATACAGTGCAGTTGGAGTTTGCAAAAGCTGTGTGTCTCCTTCAAAACTTTCCAGGCCTTTTGTAGAAAGCACAGTTTACAAAGTAAGGGGTTATGGGCATGGATCAGGAAATCTGCTAAGGAATGAGGAAGACCTTTGTTTCCCTTAGCAGAGGACAGAGAACTCTAGCAAGAATTAACAATCCTTTGTCAACTTATTTTAGCACTCAATTTTAGATAAAATCTGTTATTTGTAGAGGGAAGCAATGGTTAACATATCAATTAGGTCAGGTTCCCAGGGATTTACAATTCTTTACAGAGGGGAGCATTGATTAATGTATCAATTAGGTCACCCAAAAGAAAAAGCACAGACAGAACAGTATGGCGGCCTTACAGGTACTTTGGTCATATAACTTAGGCATAACAAAAACATAACAAAGCTCTTTTTGCTAGTGTACAGCAATTGTTATCTCATTTTAGAAATGCAAAGTCAGCAAAGACTAACTATCTTGCCAACAATGTCCGTTAGTTAATAGCACTGCTCTCAGACTCTAACAATCATGTTCTTTCCACTATTAGGATACACTGATACCAAAGATCAGACAGCAGGCAGTAGACAGAACGTTATTGATAGACTGCCTAAATCAGCAGGACAGCTCAGAAATCGGTACTCTCTGTGTCTCTAGAGGCTGTCACATTTGAGAGGCTGTGTTAATGATCTTCTTCTATCACCACTTGAATT